TTATTGGTTATGCACACCGAAAATGGCATGGACCAACCTAACCTACAATGGACCTACTAAAAACAGTGGGTTATCGTTCGCGGGTATTTTGACCTATATTAAATTAGATGAAAATGCTTTACAATATTTTGTTTCAAACGTAATACTTACTTATAGATTTTGGTAGTCTTTTGGGTGTTTTAATCGGTACAAATCATGGTTTTAGAAAAAATGCCAAAAATTTGTGTATTTTCCTGGTAGAAACCAACCTTGCCCTTTTCATGTTTTTGCCATTTTTACACAAAAGGTAGTTCCACAACCACATTTTTAAGTGAGTTAAAAATAAAACCATAATATACAAAATCATGGAAATCTGGAGTATCTGTCAGGTTCAAACTACCGCGAACACCTTCAAATAAGTCAAGCGTTCAAATGTGCCGTGCGCATACGCAGTGACGTCATCCGTGAACCAAATAACTGTTCAAAGTTTGGGAACAAATAAACCTCATGTCATTTCCGATGGCCCCTTTGACCTCATTTATAAACTCATTTGCATACCAGACTTACTCAAGATACAGTTCGTGTCGGTACAAAGAAAGGCAAGACACTTTCCTCCGAAATAGAGTTAATGGAGTTATTTCTGAACAAAACAAAAATTTCCAAATTAGTATCCAGTACAAAATCTTTTCTTCGAATCGAATTACCAATACGTGTTAATATACCAAATCATAAAATACTTTACCTTGTTAAATCGACGATGTTGATAATTTGAAAGTCGGGTCTTCTTTTTACAAACAAAAATAATTAATTGTCAATTTAGCCTTTAGCGTCACGTGATCGCGAAAACTAGCGTGACCGGATTTCTTTCGCGGGTAAGTTAGTTTTCGCGACCACGCTAAAAGGATTTAAAACAATTAATTATTTCATTTTGTAAAACAAAAAAGAAGTTCTGACTTTTCTAGTCTATTGGAACTGCAGTATTTCTAATATATACTAAAACACAAGCATTTAAATTGTACGTATCAGTAAAGCTGACGCGCATGCGTTGTTGAGTATTTCTTCGACCAAAATACGGATATCATACCATTTATATAGATTATTCTCAAGGTCTCAACAACACGAGTAATACTGCTTTAAAACTCACTTTAAGTTCCGTGAA